GAGGGGGATGATCACTTCCCTCGACCTGCTGGAGACGCTTTTCTTAATGCACCCCAGGATCCCGTTGGCTTTGGCCACCAGGGCACACTGCTGCCTCATGGTCAACTTGTCGTCCACCATGACACCCAGGTCCCTCTCTGCGGGGCTGCTCTCCAGCAGGTCCACGCCTAATCTGTACTGGTGTCCAGGGTTATTCCTCCCCAGGTGCAGGACCCTGCACTTGCCCTTGTTGAACCTCATGAGGTTTCTCACCGCCCAGTCCTCCAGTCTGTCCAGGTCCCTCTGGATGGCAGCACAGCCCTCAGGGCTATCAGCTACTCCCAGTTTCGTATCGTCGGCAAACTTGCTGAGGGAGCACTCCAGCCCTTCATCCAGGTCGTTAATGAATAAGTTGAACAGGACTGGACCGAGAACTGACCCCTGGGGGACACCACTAAGTACAGGCCTCCAGCTGGACTCCGCACCATTGACAACCACTCTCTGCACCCTGCCATCGAGCCAATTCCTAATCCACCTCCCTAATAATCCTAAACATAATCCTTAAAGTTAACAAATTATAATCTGTAACTGTAACAAACCCTGGTAGTTATCATATATTGGTAGTTGTTATGTTAGCTATGTTAGCAAGGCACCTTTCAAACAGGTGCTTTGTCAAACAGGTAAACTTTATAATGTTTTATAGAGTCGATTACTCCCTGATCTTTTATCTATGTAGTTGGGAAAAGGAAGTTACCCAAAGTCAAAAACAATGTAATAGACTGCACATCTCAGACCTCCTCCATACTATGAAGGCAACATCATAAAATTCAAGGATTCACAGAGGTAAATATGCTACAGGGGAAAATAAATGGAATGTCTGAAATGCATATTTTGGGGAACATCAGCACTATTAATATGTACTGAAACAGGAGGAATCCTCAGGAAAATGGTCGACTCTGTGTTGTGACATTTTCCATACTCTGAGAGCAGCTTAAATAAGATTTAAGTGCCCTGTTCACTTTGCAGAGCTATAGAGGATTCACAGAACTGAAGTGGAGGGATGAACTGCTGACATTTTGAAGCAGAGTAGATTCACCCATTAAGATATGAAAAGGAGAGCATCAAGACACTCAGCTGATTCATTTCTTGCAGTTTTGAGTTAACTTTTCCTTTCAGTTTCAAGTTGTCACCTACCCTGAAGTCTCTTACCATGAGAAATGTGTTTGAAGATAGTACTTTCTGTTTGATCGGTTTCCACCTCCAGACTAGCAGAGACAGTATCAGTAGGTTAATGTCTTTGAATTGAATTAGTGAGCCAAACACTCCCACTAAGACTTTTTATTCAGAATTCCTCTTGTGAATCCAAAACCATGTTATACAAATTGTGATCTGATAAAATACGGTGAATAACTAGAAGCATAATCCTTTCATGCACTATTGTTGTAAAGTTTAGCAAGTAGGAACGAAGTGTGGTAGATAATCTGTATAGGCCATTATGGACTTAATTTCAATCTATATTTCTTATAAATATGGTAAAGATCTGTAAAAATCCTTAAAGATTATAGTAATTCATTTTTTAAATTTTACTTCTTTTTTAATTATTAAAATTATATAATTGCAATTATTTCTATAAATATGGTATTGATTCTTTACCTTTGCTATGATTAGCATTCATAGTTCCTCCTTTTTCATTGTTTGGCCAAACAGACATTCTACAGTTATTCCTAACTATAGGAGAATGATTCAGACTTGTTTATTTTTACTGGTCACCTGTGCTTATGTCTACATTAAAAAGTCATGTCACTTAATAGAATCAGTGTTGAGAACGCTATATCCATATTATCTACATTTTGGGGGTTGACTTTGGAGTAATTCTTGTCTGATTCCTTGGATGGGATTGCTAGTAGAGGTAAGAATGCAACCAGTACACTGCAGGAACACATCTTCAGATGTACGCATATCCAAAATGCTCTAACAGGTGTTAGAATTTGATTTGGTAGAATCAAATTCTGTTTGAATGCTCACCTTTCTGTAACATGAACCAAAGAAGACTAAGTTGGAATGGTTAAGGGAAAATGTTAAAAACACTACAAAACATGTGAGGTCAATATACATTTTTAGTGTCACTTTACAAAATTGCATTTTACAAAAATGCAGAAGGGTAAAAGAGTATCACCTAACTATATCTCACAGATTCACAGATTCACAGAATATTTAAGGTTGGAAGGGACCTCTAGAGATCATCTAGTCCAACCTTCCTGCTCAAGCAGGCACACCTACAGCATGTGGCACAGGGTGGCATCCAGGCGGGTCTTGAAGACCTCCAGAGTAGGAGACTCCACAACCTCCCTGGGCAGCCTGTTCCACTGCTCTGTCACCCTAACAGTAAAGAAGTTGCTCCTCACCTGGAGACGGAACTTCTTATGCTTCAGCTTGTGGCCATTACCCCTCGTCCTATCGCTGGCCACCAGTGAAAACAGCTTGTCCCCTTCCTCCCTGCATTCTCCCTTCCTGAACTTATACATATTAATCATATCCCCTCTGAGCCGTCTCTTCTCCAGAGAAAACAGGCCCAGCTCACTCAGCCTCTCTTCATACGAGAGATGTTCCATTCCCTTAATCATCCTGGTTGCCCTTCTCTGGACCCTCTCCAGAAGCTCCATGTCCCTCCTATACTGGGGTGCCCAGAACTGCACACAGTACTCCAGGTGCGGCCTCACGAGAGCTGAGTAGAGGGGCAGAATCACCTCCCTTGACCTGCTGGCAACACTCCTCTGCACCCATCTCACTCCACTGCACCTAAAACTGATCAAAAGTTAAAGGCTTTTTCTGTCAAACTTTCAAACTTGTTTGTTTGTTCATCTTTCTGTTTGTGAGAAGAAGCTGAAAAAATTGTGGTTCTTCACAGTTTTGTTATTGCTGAACAACTGGACAATTTTCTAGGTGACTCTCATTGAGCAGGAACTCAGCTGATCTCCAAAGATATCTTCCAACCTCAAGTATTTTATGATTCTCTACTTTGAAAATGAACGCATTTTGAATGTTTCATTGATGAGAACCACTTTTTTGTGTGTGTGTGGTTTTTTTTTTTTTTTTTTTTTTTTTGTCAAGAAACCAACCTTTTCCTATTTTGTTCATGTACTTTTAAAATAAGAACAATGGTGTAGATTCAAATGCCACATCCATAGCTCCAGTGGGGAGTATTCTACTTCTTACTGGGAGATTAGAGTTTTTCACTAATCAAGTGGCATCATATGTGAAATTTGGCTTAAATTTTCCAACTGGTAAGGCTGATGCAAAGATGCTGTTCACAGACAGGTTAGATAAGCTTTTGCCTTTTCTCCTTCAATTTTTTTTTTTTTAATTATTAACATTATATTAGTGTCATATGTATTCCAGAATGATATACAGGCTCCAACTGAAACTACGTACACAGAGTGAGACATGGTTCTTGTCCTATACAGCTTATTAATTGGCCGTATAAACTATGGGAAGTATAGGAACTTGACAAAGATGATCATAGGGGTCATGCCCCGGGACACCACTGAAAACATTTACTTATTACACTGAAATATGATGTCATGCTTATGAGCCTTCTAGTAGTGTTTCAAATGCAGAAGCATTTGAGTTGGAAAAGTAACAGAAATTAAGGATATTGCTTGTACACATTTTCCTGTATGTCAGCATGTCTCGTTTTGTTTTTAATCAGAATAATATCTTAAGACTTGGTTAGCAGATAATTTCTTCTATTCCTTTAAGTAGTTCTTTCACGTCTGTCCTGTTATTGCAAAACATGTAGAAATAAGCTAGATCATTCTTCCAGCCTGTCACATATGCATTCTTTGAAGCAGCAGATAGAGTCAAAGGGTTAAGAAACAATTCCAGCATCCTCTTAACATGACTAGAATCACTGGCAGACAATAATGACCTATTGCTTTTCTCTAATAGGAATTAACCATTTCTTGATTATGGTGTGTCACTACTATGAAAAGATCTTTACTTTTGCCATATCTTCCCTAATATTTAATTAGCATTCTCTTTTCCAGCCAGACTTTTTTTTTTCTAGCTCTGAAGAAATACTGTAATAATTGCTAAGTCGGTAAAGTGACATGCCCCTCAGCAAGTTTGTTTCTGATAGCCCACAGACACATTTACTGAGGTTTTAAATGCTGGCCTAACCTAACAGACTTTCTCAGACAAGGTATGAAAAATAGACACAAGTTCCCTCTTAATTATTTTTTTATCCAAATACATAAAATACACTTCTTTCAATCCACGTGGAGACACTGGAAAGAGATTAAGAAATTAAGTCCTTCTCACTCATGCTGCGGCCTGTGAAACCTTAACCTTATACTGACCGTCTTCTGTTGAAAAATGGATTATCATAAAATACAGCATCATGCTTTGCTGGGAAAATGTGTAACTTTACTGTAGAGCAATTGTCATGACCCTCTTCCAAATGAAGTTTTTCCTTATGGTTTCCTTCCCATTTGACTGATTTAAGATTCTACGCCAAGACAAGGGTACCAACTAAATCAGGTGAACAGATATTTCTGCAGCTATTCCTATTGCTGTCAATGGAGTTTGACATCTGATCAATACAGAGGGTAAAATGGTATACATAATGTTTTTCAGGTACTGTAAAATGGTTTTAAATCAAAACTACACATGCATGCTACACTCTTAAGCAGCTTACATACTGTGCAGTTTCTGATCCTTGTGAACTTTTCCTAAAATACCAGAAGGCCTAGTAAAGTAAATTGATCCACAAATCTTCTGACAACATTCTCAGTGCTGTGCAGAATTGCTCTTGACTTGGCAAAGCAGTATTTTTGTTTAATCTCCATTGTAGGATTTGGATTCTGCTGCCCCTTGTCTTAGGAAAGCAGAATGGTACCACAAGGTGAAAATAACTTAGCAATAAAGCTATGGTTTTCACTTGGAAAATTGGCTTGAACTGAAAATTGTCAAAATTACCCCCCAAAAAATATTTTTTTAAAAAAAATGTATAACCTGCTTACCTTGTGCATATCATACCTGTTTCAGTTCCTATAAAATACTCCACTAGAGAAAAAAAAAAAAAAAAGGATTAGTAAAATTAAGTTTTCTGCTTTAGGGAAAAACAATTCCTTACTTTACAGATCACCTTGATCTGTCTGTTTAGCCTGTCTATCTAACCTAGTTTCAGGTACCTAGAAAAGCATATTCAGTTTCAGAGAGCAACATTTTTTTCCTATCACTAAACTTGTTAAATGAGTTCATAAATGCATGAATGATGTGGGATTTGTGAGATGTAATTTGTGGGAATCAGAATTGGCTGTTATTGTCTGCTGTCTTGCCATTCCTGACTTCTGGATTGCCTGATTAATTTTTATTTGAGGGGTTCAGCCTTTAGATTTCCAAATTAAGGATAAATAATATTAAATTTGCTATATGGATGTTTAAAAAGGCTTCTGCTTTTCTTTTCCTTTCTTTCTTTCTTTCTTTCTTTCTTTCTTTCTTTCTTTCTTTCTTTCTTTCTTTCTTTCTTTCTTTCTTTCTTTCTTTCTTTCTTTCTTTTTTTGCTTGACAGTTATAAATTGAGGTAATTATAGTATGCTATTCAGACATAAAACATGGTTTCATTTCGAGTCTTAAATAGTATTTGGACTGCAAGATTCCCTGATGTGTAGGCACTGAGTGAGTCATTCAAAACTGAATAGATTTTAAAATAAAACTAGAAATTCATTTAATGAGACTGTCTTAATAGAAAATCAGTCCAAAAAAAATAATTCTGCCATAGAAAAGATTCTACCCATCCAAAAAATTGATTCATTTTCTTAGTGTTTTCAAATGTCATTAAAGGTTGTATTTGGTTTAAAGAGTTGTTAAATGCCTCACAGGTTTAAAACAAAACCTTGCACTTCTACATTGATCCAAAGAATCCACTATAATTTTGAAAAATTGTCTTGGCTCATATTGTTTTGCTTGCTTTCCACTTACTCCTTTTGTGGTGCCTCGGCTCTTATGACACCCCAACCAGTGGCTGCATGAACAGATTTGCTCTGAAGTCACTTGTGATGGCGGAGGGTGACTAACCAGCAGAAATGGATTATTTCCTTGGCAACAGCAGTTCAGTTTTCATGGAAATGTTCAGGGAGCTATTGATAGAGAAATAGACAAAATGGAACTCTGACTTAGTGGAAATTTTGCAGACGTCGATGGAGAACTGAATGACTTTGATGTGTAGAAAGTGAAGCTGTATGTTCAAAAAACTTCAAAATTTGGGTTAAAATTACCTAATCCAATAGCTAAAGCACAGAAATAGTTAACTAGGATAGATACTCTCAGGGACCACACCAGAAGAATGAAACTTTCTATGGAAAGTCTTTGTGGGAGACTTCAAAGGACTTTTACAAGAAATAAGGACTTCTGCAGACTATCTCTGCTTTCAGTTCAAAGCACATTTCTTTGGTTTTATCTTCCCTGCTATTACAGATGTGGATGGATATAGGTGTCTGTATAAATTATATTGAAGGAAAAATTTAGATCAAAACCCTGTACATACTGCGAAAAAGTATGAAAAAAGCTCATCATATGTAATCTTACAGTACATATTATAATAACAAATGCAATGAAAGAATTAGCGGAAGATATCAAATGACAATTTCTTCAGACAGCTTTACCTCTGACAAGTTTGCTTGCTCTGAGTGACCCCAAAATGCAATATATTCTGCAGCATGTGGGAAAAGAATCGGAAGAGAGTAACAGAGGAACCGAGAGGGATCTGAGAGTCCTGATTGACACCAAGTTAACCAAGAGCCAGCAGCATGCCCTTGTAGCCAAGAAGGCCAATGAGATCCTGGCCTGCATCAGGAGGAGTGTTGCCAGCAGGCTGAGGGAGGGGATCCTGCCCCTCTACTCAGCTCTGGTGAGGCCTCACCTGGAATACTGTGTGCAGTTCTGGGCTCTCCAGTATAAGAGGGACATGGAGCTTCTAGAGAGGGTCCAGCAGAGGGCAACCAAGATGATTAAGGGACTGGAACATCTCTTGTGATAGGAGGGCTTGAGTGAGTTGGGCCTGTTTAGCTTGGAGAAGAGAAGGCTGAGAGGGGATATGATTAACATGTATAAGTTCAGGAAGGAGTCAAGCTCTTCTCATTGGTGACCAGTGACAGAACAAGGGGTAATGGGTATAAGTTGCAACACAGGCAGTTCCATCTCCAGGTGAGGAGGAACTTCTTCACTGTGAGGGTGACAGAGCCCTGGAACAGGCTGCCCAGAGAAGTTGTGGAGCCTCCTTCTCTGGAGATCTTTAAAATCCACCTGGATGCCACCCTGTGCCACATGCTCTAGGTGTCCCTGCTTGAGCAGGAAGATTGGACTAGATGATCTCTAGAGGTCTCTTCCACCTTAACCATTCTGTGATTCTGTGAAATGGCATTGACACTTAAGTGGGAAAAGGTTGCTTCATGCAAATTGTTACATAATCTGCATGTCTTTTCTTTTTACAGAACAGCCTCAAGGAACAGTGACATTGGGTTATATGTCTTAATAGACACCAATTCATGGGCTTCCTGCCAATGGGTTAAGTGATGTTGTTTGGCCTTCTGGTTCAGAGAAAGAAATAGTCATCTTTGAATAATAGATTTTTCTGAGGTAAAGAAAGAGCAGTCAGCTGAAGTGAGAAAAGTGAAGGTGAATAAAATAGAGAAGTAAAAACTGAGATCTGAGATACTGTCTTCTTCGTCTTACCTGAGCATTTAGTTTGAGGTGTTTTGTTTTTTTTTTTTTTTTTTTTTTTTTTTTAATTCTGGAAAGGATTTCTCTGAAAGTCTATTTTCAAGAGAAGGTATTATTCTACTATAGTATATATTTGGATGTATTTGCCACTGAGCTTTTGAAGGATTTCTAGTAGCGTCCTATGAGGAAAAAAATGCTTGTAATTGTTAGTGGAAAATATCTGACAGCAAGGTCAAGTGAGCCACAAAGGAGGTGACATTCATTGATTAAGCTCCTGCTACAGCATGAAGGAAGTTGACCAAGAAAAGCATACTGCCATTCAAGGATTTAGTCATATTTTCCATAGCAATAGTGTACTTTCATGTATGCTAAAGAATAGAAATGAATTTTAATGCTTATCAGGCACTTATGCTATCTTACATGAAGCCAGATTTGGCAACCCCTCCTGCAGCTGTTGCGAACAAGTCCAGCCAATCATCAGTACTTGTGTGCTTCATTCATCCCTCTGTAAGAGAAACAGAGAAGCAATAGACTCAGAACATTTGCGGATTCAATTTTAACAAAGTGGATGATTTTCTTTGCAGAGCCAAGTCTTTTAGTTTGTTGCAGGATTTTTTTTTTTTTTTTTTTTTTTTTTTAATAATTTTGGCAGCGCAGTTGGATAGAGATTGCTGCCTTCAAAAGGACAGAAAGGAAAACAAAAATAGTTTCCTAGGTTCTAACAACCTCTGAGCCACATCAGTGTCTTCTAAGGGGGAAAAAGTATTTGCAAAGACAAGTTCTTCAATCAAAGCTATCAGAATCACACCTGTATGTTTCTCTCCCATACCACCTGGTAGCATGTCATTAACTCCAAATGTCATATAAGGCAACTGCAGTATTGTCGAGTATATAGCCATGTTTTCAACTTTCTGGAGTATTCTAAAATATTATAATAATGACTAGCAACATTAGTAACAGTTAAAGTGAGAGTAGTGGATTCTTTAGCAGTCTGTAGTAACTTATACATTTTGTAAAACACAGCTGCAATAACCCATTGACTTAAAACATTTGGTGTGTGTTTCTTGAATGACTTCACTGAATTATTGGTACTGAATGTAACTTCCATTCCATGAGGCAGCTTTCGACATGTTTGTGAGCTGCCAATATTGATGACACCTTAAAGAGACCTTAATTGTTTTATAGTCATTATCCCTTATGATTCAATAGAAGTGACAAGCACGAAGTCTATAATCTTATTCAGCTCCTCACATTTAACTCAATCAAACTCAGGTTTGATGGTTATCTGCAAGATTGTCCTGTCTAGTCATCTAGGCAGTACTCTCATGTCTATTAACAATTCTTACTCTTTGTATTTACATTCAGAGTGAATATATAGATATATATAGATATCTATATATATATATAGATATTCAGATGCTTACATACTCCCAACAGTGAATTATAATCTATTGCTTAAAGATAAATAAATAAATAAAGAGATTACTTAGCCATCAGAAAGACAATCTGATCTTTTGTCATTTTTGTCATTTGATTATTTTACCAAAAATCTATTTTACTGCTGTTGCTTTAGGGGAAAGGAGGAAGCTCCCTTTGCCTTTTTGGGGAAATTGGGCTGAGGGCCAGATACATGCCAGCCAGGTCCAGGGTACTTTGATTGAACAACTCAAGGCATAATGCACGTATCGCAAAAGTGTGTGCAAATTTTAAGGTGTCCTTTTCTGGTGGACAACTAAACTATCCAGATTTGGACAATGAAATGAACATTTTTCATTCTGCTTTACTGGCAAAAACCTTAGACAAGTTTTCAAAACAAGATAGATATTTTGAAAATTATTTACAATAAACTATAAATAGCCTTTGGTTCATTTTCCTTTATAGTCATTTACTCCTACTTATTCTTTGTCACAGCTGCAAGTATCTTCCATATCTCCCACATTTCACCAGTAGGAGATACAATGTTCCATGTAAGTAGATTGCACCACTCATTCTCATCCCCTTTTGAGGATGCTTAGACATGCTGGAGTAGAGGTGAGGGGATTTTTTGGTTAGAGGCCATCTTATTAAAAACTATCTGTGAGTAGTAGTGCTGCATCAGATAGCTGATATGAGAGTGAAGAATTTGTCTCCCACAGGTTTGTTTCAGAAAGATAGGGACTGCTCTGATTCTCATGCTGGTAAATCTATAGATTAGATCTAGAGTTAAAAAAAAAACAGTGAGACTAGAGTAGCTGCAAGCTTCACCTACTTCAGTTACTTGGAAACTGTTTCAGAGAATTGCCTTTTTTAACTATTAAATATTTAGAATACAGGTAACTGTGAACTTAATGCATTTTTTAGCCTGAATGTTTTTGTACATCTGAAATGATTTTATGTGAAACAATGTTTTTGACATTTTTCTAGTATATCATTGTGTATCATTGAAAGATTGTGTGCAACGGTGGTACTTTAATGCTGGCTATTCACTTTAGATCACAAAATAAACCATGTAGATAAGGAAATTTAAACATTTTAAAATACAAGGGGTAGCTTGAAACACAAGGGAAGACGAAGGTGCAGAAGAAAAGTTGTGAAACAAAGAAGGGTAGTGCATAAGAAATAAAACCTAACTAAATGTTATCCTTTTTTTTCCTCCCTCAGAGTCCCTTTGTACCAATATTTGCTTGACTTGGACAAAAGACATATGCCTCTCTGAATATCCAAAGGACATCAGCATATATTGTGTTTGAATGACCCTTTGCTGACCTACTTGGTCTTCAAGCTTTGGCTAAAGACCATCTTTCTGCCCTGTCAGTTATAAGCGTGATACACATTTCTTGTCCTGTTTTTTCCTAGACATCAGCCTGCAACCTGTTGTGAACTCTTGGCTCCTATGCTGCTATGATACCACGCTGCTGCAGCTGCTTTGCTTCTTTCCAGTAATCTGCCAAAGAGATGAATAACTGCATCAAAATCTCAGCTAATATAAAGTATCCAATTGATTCTACTTACCCCCACAAAATAGTGAACTTGGATACTTGCCAAATGATAAATGCAATGGAAAATCTGAAGGTACAAATGGAACAATCTAACCAAGTGTTGGCACAATGACTGGAAATCATTTTGTTACTGTAAACTAATCTATAACATTAGTGTTTTGATGTCATTGGTGCCACCACACTGCTTTCCATCTCACTGGCTCTGCTGCTCTTTGCAAGGGCCTTGCTTTAGAAAGCTGTTGTGACCTGTGAGCTCTTTCACAGAAGCAGAGAAAAATCATCTTTCTAAATGATTATTATAAGTGCATTATTATTTTTCTCACAAGGTTATCATTTCCACTGAATTGGTAAGCCACCCACAGGGCTGGCTCTACAGCTGTCATAACCTTAGCATAAATCTGTTAAATCAACTGTGTTGTATTGAGTTATCCTGGCAGAGAATTGAATTTATTTGTGGAGCTATTAATTGCTCTTCTCATATTCACATCTCCCTTAAAGATTCTACACAATGACCAACCTTCTCTACTTGATTTTTGACAACTTTTTTCTGAGTGAAAAAGAATTTCTTGAATTTTCTAGGCCTCCATCTTTGTCATCAAGGTCATCTAGGCCTTGAATTTTCTAGGCCTTCATCTTTTCACCTAAGCTGACAATGTCTGTAGCTATTGCTCAGAAAGGTATATTTGTGGAGGCCCACTTCAAGGACGGCAATGCAGTGTCTATCAGCAAGCAGGATGCCTTGTAATAGATAACCATCTTCAAGGATGGCAGTGCACTTGTTCCATCAGCAGACCAAAATCAAAGTCAGCTGTCCGGCTGCTGTGTGACCATGAAGCTGATTAGATAGTCCTGGTGTAATTTTTAGGAACTGTGTTTCATTTGCTTTTAGGCAAAAATGGTATTGTATCCGGGACCTTATAGGTAAGCTTACAAAGGATTGGATGATATCCTCAGATATGTGAATCTGGCACACCAGGATTGGCAGAACACATATGTAGCGTATGTCTGTGGCTCACATGATCACTCTTGTAAGGTATATAAGGGCTTGCTGATTGATTACGAAATAAATGCTATTGGACCATCCAGCCGGTAGCCCCTGCTCCTCAATGCCACCGCATAAAATAAAATAAAATAAAATAAAATAAAATAAAATAAAATAAAATAAAATAAAATAAAATAAATAAAATAAATCTTAACAGAAATTGTAAATTTGCTTACATTGTTAGTAGAATGTCTTAAAAAGAGAGTCCCATTACAAAGGACGAGGCAGTGTTGCTTTTACTTTTTTTAACTTCTAGGTCCAATTTAGATATTTTAGAGCTCAAGACTACGGAGGAAATGAGTTTTCTATAAAGTCACCCAGGGCTATACTGCTCAAAATCATAGGCCAAAAAAGGCTGCCTCCCTTAATAACATATTAAAGATACTTAATATTAGAATGCTATTTAATATGAGAGTAAAACTTCAGATAGAGTCAGCTCATTAGCACAGATTTTCTCAAAAGGGGACTTGAGTCAAGTCGGCAAGGCAGATGGCTGTGGTCTCACTTTTTTCCCTCCTCTGTTGAAGGTGCCTTAAAATATGGAAAGCTTCTCTTGCACCACTTGCCATTGAAAGATTGAATCCTTTTTCTTTCTCTAGTTCAGTATTCAGCACAAAGAGAATACCTCTTACTTGTGAAGAGTCTTGTAAGCTGAGAGCAGGAGAATGGCTTATGTCAATGCTAGAAATCACCCATGCAGACAGCAATTATTTCAATTTATTTGACCAGAATTTGTTAGAACCTGCAGCTGTGAACATTTTTCTTTCTATTCTTTAGACAGTCAAGCATGTTATTCTTGACATATATTTCATTATGCATTCATGTATATTCCCATGGATTTTCTTCCGGTGGGCAAGTCACTTTGGTTTGGTTTAGATGTTTCTCTGAAAAAAAAAGTACTAGCAATGCTTTTAGGGATTTCTAGATATTCCTTGAATGAAATCCAACATTACACAAAACAGAGAATTATGATCACTTTTGTGCCTCCACACCTAGTTCCCATTCCCTTTGGGAATTTGGAACTAAGTGGTCACTCCTAGTGATGATTTATCACTATTGTTAAAATTGTTAAAATCGTAAATTGTTAAAATGATTCATGTTTCTAGAAAGTAAATATATTTTTATTCAGGAAAGGCGAAGATTGTAACAAATGGCTTTTGATAAGCCTTCTTTGGGAAGTTCTGCTTACAAAATATTTATACCACTCTCTTCAGTGTGAAATGGTCTATTCTGAGTTGATAGTTTCAGTATTAGTATGGGGCAAGGGGACATGTGGATTTCTGACTAGCTTGGTTTTTTATTAGAGAAGGCATAGGGTCAGATTTTCAAAAGCATTTAGTTTTGACCTACCTCTGTGCCTATCAGATGAAGTGGAAGAAAAAAATAAGATAAAAGGAAGGATGCTTGATGGCCATGCTTTGACGTATTTAGGATAGGAACTGTGTTTTACTGTGACTTCATACAGTGTGTAACACAGTATTGATAGTGATAATTAATTGAGATCTCCAGGTGCTATCGTATTATACACAATCATTTACTTAGCAAATTAATTTAGTCTCTTCCGTGGACTGTGGTTGTCTCCTGTGAAGGCAAAGAGAGCAAAATGAGAACATTGATCCATTGCTGCCTATATATTACATTATGCTATAATTTTAGGAGAAGACGTATAAGGATTTCGAGTGCAGTTATAGTACAGAATCAAATCTGAAATGTCGTATGATTTTGGAGAGCCATAGCTGCATGCTCAGCTTAGTCTTAGTGATGGTGTCCACTTTGTGTCCCAAAGGTTGTAGGGGACGACTGGGTACAAAATCCATCCCAAGACACAGTTCTGCTGTTTATATCGCATAGCCTTAATCCTTATAAGCCTTAAAGTCAGACTTTTTCCATGAACCAAGAACAGTATTCAGAAGAGTACATTTATAAGTCTGTTTGTGAGAGAATGTTTGTAGTGAGAACCCAAAAAGAAAATAAATGGTCATGATCTTTTAAGATTACTTCAGCATTCTTTTATCCTTTTGCTAGAGAAGCAGCAGGCCCTCATGCAAAACACACTGAATAAATCACAACATGTTTGGTATTCACTGTATGGAAACAGTACATGACTGATTGTCTCTGTTCCAGTTACTGTGACATTGCCAGTGGCTTTCCACTCTCCAAGGTGGTGGCTTGCCAGCAGTAGAAACTAGATCAAGATTGCAGAGGCCAGTACAATCTCTGTAGTAAGGGAAGACTATAATCCGGTCACACTAGTCAGGAAACAATTCCCTACAGATTTGTCATTGGTCTGAGTAGGACATCACCCAGACAGGGTGACTGCAATGTTTCTTGCTGGCAAAAAAAAAAAAAATCAAAAAGGGACGAAGGGATAAGTTGGTCCTCCAACTCCTAGTGAGTCAAGCTTGAACAGAAAGTCAACTGTGTGCTCTGAAGTAACTACCATGGACCTGCTCCACATTTCTGACAACATCAGGCTTCCCAAACAAGAGTTTACATGGATGTTAATAGGCTGAGGTGGGCAAGGCTCCTGAGAGAGGTCAGAGTGGGACATTATCTGCTAGAAGGGCCTGTCAGGTATGTGGAGACATGGATTATAGGATGTCTGGAGAGGTCAGAGCTGTTTTTACTGAAGCACAGAGGGAGTACAACTATTGAGAGCAAGAGACAAGCTAAGGCAATGCGGACACAACTGTCTCAAGCTGCTTAGCTGGCAAAGCTCAATCTGAACTTGGCATTTGATGCTGAAGCAGCAGTATAGATTTGGCCTATGGTCCTCTGGGGAGCTTCTGCATTTGAAGTGAAAGGGAATGGAGGGTGAAATTCAAGCAGATTTTTCTATTTTATGCTTTCTCTGGAGACTAATCCATCATCCCTGCCAGAGCTGGTTTATCCCTGCATTTTATAGAAGTATATACACAAAGCAAATGCTGCTGATTGCAGCAATAGTCAGGTAAATTCTAAATACCTCCCAGGGAGGAAAACCCCCAATTCCTTTTAGGATGTCTCCATTTGCTCTTGAAAATGACATAAGTTAAGCCCTGTAGTACAATAATTTCAGGAACACACTGTAAGCAGTTTCAGAGATTGTACCTAGTCTAAGCTGGTTTATCAGGTAAAATATCCTTTCTCTTGGTTGCAACTATGAGAAATCCTTTTGTTCTAAATGCATAAGCAAATGAATAGATTCTACAGTCCTTGGAACCTTCCTCTAGGTCATGCACCTTATTACAGGCCAAGAGAAGTCTTTTTGTGAAAACCTCTCTTTAAAATGTGGTGAGGCGCAGAAAGCTGTCAGAACACAACTGGGCCCATGGACCCATAGCATTCCTGGTAGAGCATTCAACTTCCAGTGCAGTCCTTGTCCCCCCATATATCATGAATCTCAAAGTAGCTTTTGATTAATCTGTCTGGTTTCTACCTTTCTGCTTCCCAGATGAAGGCAAGACCCAGCAAATTTACACTGAGAATCTCCTTGGCCCTTTGTAGAAAGTTTTATCTCAGCTCTTTCTTGCTCATCCTCAGCTCTCATCCATTTTTTTGGATGCCTGCAGGCAGATGCATTTTATTGTTGTGTATCTCATTGCCCAGTGGCTGGCCATTTGAGTAGAGATACCAGCAGCTTAGCTGTTGGTGCCTTAATGATGCAGCCAAGCTGCCTGGCTAATGACCCAAGCTCCCTCCACAGTCAGAGAAATACTCCTGCAGAGAACAATTCAGGTCACCTTGGTTAAGTTCTTGTTCTGAATCACCCTCCAGAGGAGCCCGTTTGTCTCCATTAATTATATAGGGAGTCTAGGAAACCTAACCGTCTAATGTAAGTTGGCCAGTGAAGTTAGGCACTGCAAGAAACTCTCTTTAATCTATGAGCTCCTAGAGCCTCCTGTCTCCCTGCATAAATGTGTAAGGCTTTTCTTATTAGAAGAAAAATCAGGATAAATTTTATAATACTTGACTTCAAAAATAAAATCACTAATCAGACTCACTTTTTCTTAAAGTGCACTTATGAAAGAAAAAGAATGTATAGCTTTCCAACACACTCATGCTAATATGCACAATCACTGCTAATAATGAGGGCAACACAGCTTCATTCCTGTGATTGCCTTTCATTTTCCCATGTGTCTGAGCTCCATCGTTATTCTGACTGTCATATCTGTTATTTATTAACATAGAGAGACATTAAAATGCAATTTCTTCATCTATGTGTTTCTTTCCTAATTGCATGCTATTTAATGCTCAAAGAAATTCAGCAATGATTGTCTTGATTTTCCTCAGTTGCATAGATGCATATGAGTTTATATTTAACTAATGCTTTTATGTTTTTCATTTTTATTTATGTGAACCTTCTGCACTACTTCATTATACTTTTTACCTGTTAGCTGTTTATATTTTCTTTTTATTTAGCATGCATTCAATCTCATGATTGATTTTTAAATTTAAGAGCTTTCTCTCCTGAGACATTAGGAGAAAGAAGAGACATTATGTGCAATATTTCTGCAACATAATACAAATTCTTTGGTTTAAGTATATTTTTTTAAAAAAAAGTTTTCCTCTTAATTTGGCTATTAGAAACAATTACTTCCATAGAAATTATTAGCTTTCTTTTAGAGGTGAATGAAAAACAGCTTTTTATTTCCATAAAAAAGAGTTGAGACTTTGAAATAAACCTCACTGAAATAGTTTAGGTTAGGCAAAACATGTTCCTTTTTTGATCTTATCATTATTTTTGATATATTAATTTTAAAAGTGAATTTTTTTCTGACAGCTAGCTACACGTGCACACACACACACACACACACACACACAGAACAGAAACCTAGGTTACTTTGAAAATGTTAATGTGTGGGACTTTTTTAAAAAATATTTGTATGTACATTTCTAAACTTTCTATTTCTTCTTAGTTAAATATATCCTGAAAAAGAGGGAAGGAAAAATTGCTTCAGAGACAAAATTAGGATCATTATATTTGTACATTTTGTATATTTATGTAGTCATTACTGATGATGTTTGCAATTTTTTTTTTTTGTATTTTTCTTCTTTTTTTTATCAGTGATCCTTTTTCAGTGGTCATGCTGAGAAATAATTTAGTCTATTACTCTGACATCATTCTAGCAGAGCTGATCAGAAATTTTGATTATTGAAATATAAATTTTAAAATTTGCAATTTAATCAGAAAAAAATATAGAAAAGGAATTAGGAATAATAACTTTGTGATTCTTCTTATAACAACATCTTGAAAAGTTGGTAGAAAATTCATTTAAAGTCATCTTTATTGTTAGTTTAGTTTTGGGGAATTTTTATGCTATTTAGGTAATAGGAAAACTGACATCTTAGAAATACTACTTTTTTTTTTCACAAAAGGAAATTGAAAGATGATAATTTCTTGCTAGTAAAATTACAAACATCCTGGCAATAAACCTAATATTATAACTTTAAACTGAAATTTTGTCTTCAGGGGTATGATTAACAGTTTCGTATGTAGCATATAATACTCCTGCCTTAGTACATAAATAAAAATAATCACAGAATCAAAATTCCTAGAATTTCCAGAAATTAAAGTTTCATCCCTCTTCCTGATCATTAGTCTCAAAGAGGGATGCCTTTTACTTTTCTTTGTTTGAACTGACTCTTCAGGCTGAAAATGGATCATCTAGCAGCCACACGCATCACTTTAAACATGCATTTATAGCAAGGGCTGACACATCATCTTGATGCCTCATCCATCATTATATTATTCTCCAAAGATGGTAAATGAATCATTTGAATGCATACATGAAGCATTTATGGCCTAAAGGGTTTTGTTCAGTATCCATTACATTCAGTAAAATTTGTTACATTGATTTTAGTGATCATTGGATCACACTAGATCTTATAGCTATAGGCTGAGCAGAATAATGTATTTAGGAAACATAGCTTTTTCTGCACTTGGAATGGTTGTGATTTTCTTGAATTTATCTGTTTGAATGAAAAATTTATTCAAGGCATTCTATAAGTTAAGCATTTAATACCAGAATAATATAAGGAAGGAGGGAATAAGTGATTCTTGAGCAGTTGCAAGACTGATAGGAATTTTCACTCATTTCTTTGAAATGACATGCACAAGTTGTTATACATATGCCAAATTGTTTGACATTTTTTAACACCAAAACTGCAATGTAAGGTGGTCCTGCCACCTTACCGAGTGGTCCTGCCAGAACCAGTGTGACCATGCTGATTAACAGCCCCATGAGAAAAAAACAACAATAGTCAATGATGAATGAAAAGATTATTTTTGTTTTTTTGACCGATCTGTTCATTTGAGTCTTAGGGATAAAAAAGTCTTCATAACATAAAAATTCTTCACAATGGAGATTTTGTTGAAGGACATAGACAAATTGGGTCACATAATATAAAATAAAGTCAAAAAGGCAAGTGAAACTGAATGAGCTGAGGATATGTTTTTGATCTGTGTTCTTTGTCATACAACCCTCTAAATGAGATAGTGAGAGTCTAATTCAGGTAGGCTGTCTGAATTATTTTTACAATAAAAAGTCCTAGTAGCAGCATAAGTCAGATTTTAAGGTACCTGGTTGTCAAATTTATCA